GCTCTCAATTGTTTGCACTTCTAGACGGAGCCTTGCCATTCAAGAGTCTGTCCTTTCTCTCTTCCTACATAGTCCATAATACTGCTCTCCTCGTGCATCCCCAGATGATCTTCCCTCTTTTCCTATTGAAACAGGAAGAATAGAAAGCCCAGCAATCTGATTCAACTCCTAGGGATCCATCTGAAAGTGCAGAACCAGAAGAAACAATTGATGGCTATTTGTCTGCTAGATATAAATATTCCAACCTTCTGCTTACGACTTAGGATATCTCAAGATTGTTTGGATATGTTTCTGTGCACACTAATTACTGATGGCTAGCTGTCCATCCCATGGGTTATGGTTTTGGCCTGTGCACAGGTCAAGTGGAGCTCTGGAGGCTTTAAGCCCTCCGTACAGGAGTCCAGATGAAACAGTTGTCTATTGCTGATTGGTGCACTCAACAGCAGATCTCATCTCTATATCTATTAAATTCTGGTTTGCCAAAAATGCATGTTTTCCTTTCCTTGTGATGTTGATTTTTAGTGTTTAGTTGTTTTTCCCAGAGTGCACCGAGTTTATAACCCATAATACTAATTTTTGTATGGAATGTGGTTGCAGAGCTTCCTCCACACCAAGAGATTTGAATGCCTTCTCTTTCTCTTCTACAATGTCAGAGGTATGCATGGGTTCAATTTTGTTATGATGTTGACATTGAAACTGACAAAGGATCCTGTATTGTCATTACTAAATAATAAATGTATTATGATAGGGTAACATTGCATGATAGCTGAAGAAAGAAGGTGATACGGTTTCTCCTGGTGAAGAAAGAAAGTGGAGCTCTGGAGGCTTTAAGCCCTCCACACAGGAGTCCAGATGAAATAGCTGTCTATTGCTGATTGGTGCACACAGCACACCTCATCTCTATATCCATTGTTTATATTTTCTGGAGCATCTGTATATCTATTATATCCAAGAGATTGGAATGCCTTCTCTCTCTCCTACAATGCAGAGGTATGCACAGGTTCAAGAGATTGGAATGCCTTCTCTCTCTCCTACAGTGCAGAGGTATGCACAGGTTCAATTTTGTTATGATGTGGACATTGAAACTGAAAAAGGATCCTGTATTGTCATTACTAAGTAATTGTCTTATGAAAGGGTAGCATTGCACGATAGCTGAAGAAAGAAGGTGATAAGGTTTCTCATGGTGAAGACGTGACGTTCTCTGCGGAGTTAAACCTGTATGCTTCTTGGTGCTGGTCTTTAGTCCAAGTTTGTAACTTTGTAAAATATGTGTTAAGGATGCAGCAAAAACTAGAAAAACTAATAGCTCCAAAACAGGCTGCAGTCATTAAGGGCAGGCAAGGTGTTGATAGTATCATCATAGCACAAGAGATAGCAAACAAAATGAAGAAACAGTGCAGAGGATGGACCATGCTGAAGATAGACATGTTAAAGGCATATAATAGAACCCGAAGGGATTTTTTTTAGTGAAAATGAAGGAGAAAATGGGATTCCCAGAAAGTTGGTGCAAAATGCTGAATTTCTGTATTCAAGCACCAAGTTGTCGATTAAAATAAATGGAACTCTAAAAGATTTTTTTCAGGTTATGAATGGAATAAGACAAGGTGATCCACTTTCACCATACCTATTCATTATAGGGATGCAAGCACTGTCTAGCCTCTTCCAGAAAGCTGAAGACAATAAGGAACTGCACGGTATAAGATTATGTAGAAATGGTCCATCAATATCACATCTGCTACTTGCAGATGACTGGTATAATCTGTAAGGCTGAACCTGATCAGTTAAGGAAGGTCAAAGAAATACTGGCAACGTTTGAAAGCTGGTTGGGAGAAAAAATTAACTTGACAAAAGCAGGGGCTCAGTTCAGTAGAGGAATACATAGAAGAAAGGAAAAAAATGTCCCCAGATTTCTCAGAATGAAACACACGAAGATTCAAGAAAAATATCTGGGAGGCAAGTTATGTTTCCAAGGTAAACAAAAGAATGACCATTGGGAAATTGTGTATAAAATGAACACTAGACTGGCTGGCTACTTGGAAGGCAAAATTGTTGTCACAAGCAGGGAGAACTACACCAGTGAAAACAGTGTTAGAAGCCTTACCCACCTACTTAATGTCCCACTCATTATTACAGAAAAAAACAATTAAAGAAATAGAAAGAATCCAGAAGAGGTTCTGATGGGATGGAAACAACACAAACAAAGTTTACACACAATCCCATGGTTCCATATTTGTAAAACCAAAATCAAGGAGGTCTAGGCTTCAAGAAAACTGAGGAATTCAACAAGGCTCTCTTCTCAAAACAGATATACAGACTCTTCACAGCCAAATCAGAACTCTGGGCCAAAATCATCAAACAAAAGTATATCAAATTCAAGTCTATCTTCAAGCTAACAAAAAACCCAAGACACTTTTGGTGGTGGAAGCAAGTAGTATTTTTATTGGACCAGCTGAAAGGGAATCCATTTTAGCAACTGAAAGATGGAAAAATCCATTTACCCACTTGACCCTTGGATTCCATCCATAGTAAAGGCACCCCAACACTCAAATCTAACCTCCAAGGCCGACCGACTACATATAGAAAGGGTCAGTGAGCCAAGGAACCAAGAAGGGCATTGAAACCTTCCCCTACTACAGCAGCTATTTGAGGAAGAAACAATAAACCACATCATACAACTGAACAGAATTCCATGCACAGACCCAGACAAACTTCTATTGGAAGTGTTCAAGAAAAGCAACAAACAGTGTCAAAACAGGGTACAAATTCTTTATAGATCAGCTACCATCCTCCTCAGGACCACATGAGAACTGGAATCTCATCCAGAAAACAGAGACAAACTCCTCAGGACCACATTGTGGGGGGGAGTGAAAACCAGAGACAAACTCCTTTTTTTACAGGAAACAGAAAAACTCTGCACTTTATGTAATGCTGCTATAGAATCATGGCAGCATCTCTTCTTTCAGTGTTTCTCTATGAGGGCCATCTGACTTACAGCCCAAATTGGAATTAACCCCGTGGGAGTAAATAACAAACAGCTGAGTCAGTTAGTCACTGATTGGATAACAGCAAACTTAAAAAAACTTACCACCAAACCACAAACAGAGGTATATTGCCAAAATTTTCATCATTTTCAGACTAATATGGGACATGCATAATGCAAAGATCCATCAACAACAGATAGAAAACCATGGTGGCTCGAAAACCATGGCTTTGGGCCTTCAGGCCAGGCCCATTCGAATTTTGAAAAAAAATCTCAACCCAAGCCTACTCAAATTGAATATTTGCACCCATAGTTACAGGTACAATAACCTTTTCATAGTGGTTGCTAAAGCCACATCATTCATTATTAGAAATTTTCACCAAAACAAGGAGGTACGGCCTATGTCCTAATCATCCATCTTAAAGTAATTGTACCAGGACCAATTTTTTTCCTGTAAGTAAATCAACAACTAAATAAAATATAAAAAGTGCAGGGTTTAGTTAAACGATACACAGGTGTATCAATACTTTGAACCTTGTTTGCGAACTCCAGTGGAACACAAACTTTTTTTTATTTTTGATAATATTGGAAGGGGCTACACAAGACAGGGGGTAGCACGTCCCCATAGATCACTAGATACAATTACACTAAGATCATAAGGAAGAGCTCTTGGATTGAAGGTTGAAGAGGCATCACCAAACTTTTGCGCTTCACAGGCTAACTAGTCAGAGGATGACCTTGTTATCTTCTTGATTCCTTCTCAGTGTAATTCAGAACGTAGAGATGCATCTCGTAGTCCTCTGTATTTGCATCATATACAAGTCCAGGGTCAAGCGCCTTTAGGATTGAGGTGACCCACTCCCGTGGCTAGAGGACTCATGGGTTGCTAATAGTTTAAGAATTCTGTGATGGGTTTGAGAGTGGTATCAAGTGAATCTTCTGTGGTCATCATGGCAGATTGAATGGCCACTGGGCTCCATTCAGGATGGACTGCTTACAGAAGTGCTGCCACTCCCACCACACGAGGACAAGCCATGGAGGTTCCATATATGATGTTGAAGTTGCTAAACAACTTTGTTGATCCTTCGTTCACCACAGGACATACTGGAGATCAATGTTGTGATCTCCTAAAAATTTACTGTTATAGCTACACGTGCATTTGCACGCAACAATCCTGTGGCCAACATTACTCAAATCCTGCGTACAGTCGCCTCTGAAGACAAGGGGTACTCGGGTCAGAGATGAACCTCCATACAAAGATGCACCTGCAATTGAAACACCATAGCCATTGTACTGCTTGATATCAATCTGCATGGAACAATCTGTCATGAACTGCTCACACTTAGTTGTCCTGTGTTGATAACTTCATCCTTACCAGAAATTGTGGAGATATTTACAGACAATGAACCTGAAAATTGAAATGTAAAACTTAATCAACATTATTCACAGAAAACTTGAAGGACTTGCATTGTCTGTTTAACCTACAATCATAATTAGTCCATCCAATGGATTGATTTGCTAGATCATTAAAAAAAAAAAAGAAAATCTCTTAGAACAGGGTCTGCCAAGAAATAAAAATGTTAGTTTTCTTCTCTTTAGTCAGGCTTAACAACTTACAACTTTAATAACTCATATACCCATTGAGGCAAAATATACACGCAAGATTACTTGTATTGGCATTGCATCAACGTCATTCAAAATGGGGTTGCCAATATCATGATTTTCTTTCAGACAGCAGAACTGCTATGCAACAATTTAACATTTCATAAAAATGAAAGCATTTCCAATGTCTTAAAGTAAAAAGGTTTTAGAGAATCTAAAACAATGTAGGAAATCCATTGTTGATTAAAAAAATGAAGTTTAATGATAAAACAATTACTGATGAGAAAAAAGATTGTTGGAGAAGTAGCTAAACCTCACAATGGACTTTCAAATTTTTATCTTGATATAACTTGATTAGTTGTTGTAGATTATCTTTTATCTCGATATAAAATAAGGAAGTTCTTATATATGTTAACAGATCACACTGCTCTAACGGACTATATTCTATGATATTGTAAGGACCAGCTATTGTGATTTGCATAATTGCATCTCAAACTACCTATGACAAACGATAGTTGGGATTTCCCTGTAAATAATGTAGAGAGTGCACATATCTAAAAAGACCATTATCCAATGGTGGCCCCTACTACTATCTAGGGTTTTGGAAGAGGTACATTGGATAGTCCTAACTCTTATCCTTTGGCATTTTCTTTTGCACAAAGTGGCTGCTCTCACTCTCACAATATGAGGGTGCACATATTTTTCATCCAGAAATAGTATTCGGAGAACTTTTAAGCAATTTACTTCTATCCAACCCATGCCTGACACTTCATTGTGAAAAGTTGTTTATTAAATATGGTTGTTGCATAACTTGTGCCCACTTTCTGAATGTTTTGACAAGTAAGCTTCTATGCTGTGGATAAATAGTGAAGATACCTTGAAATGTTTATTACATTGCAAATGCACTTATGAAATTCTTCTTTATTATATCTCTCCATTGGATATGGTGTCATGCCCTGATTTATTTCAATGTATTTAGGAGTTTGTGTACACACTAAACAGATTACATTTGAAAATGAATTTACTAATGACATTTCATGTAGCCAAAAAAGTGGAGAATTACCAACAAAATGACAAATCGTGAAATACAAAATTAGGAAAAACAAAAACTCAATTATACTTCACATTTACACAGCCTCCAAGACCTAAAATCCAATAGATCAAGGATGGGTGACACAAGAAGAGCTAGGGTTAAACCAAAAAGGGCATGGGTACAAGTACTAAGAAATGATTTAGGCACTAATAATTTAATAGTGGATATGGCTTTATATTGAATGGATTGACGAAACAAGATTCATGTAACCAACCTCAAATAGTTAGAATAAGGCATGAATGATAATGATGATGGCATATTAGGGATAATTGTTTGACCTGACTCGGCCAGCCTGCATTGCAAATTTCTGGGCCCAAGCAACCACATTTCTCCTAGGCGTGGCCTAGCCGAAACCCACATTAAGCCTGCAAAAAATGCAGATCGATGATGTTTTGCTATACTAGGATAAACTTGATTTTAGTTGTAACCTCATGATGGACTTTCAGCCTTCAACCATTAATTGTGACCTCAAAATCGACTTTCAGTCAAATTTTTATCTCGATATAACTGATGTGATTGCATATCTGTAGTTAGAATTGTCTTGAGAAATCCTACAACTTATTTGTGATGTTTGGGCACACATTAGACTTCAATATTTTAGTTTTAATAAAATATTATTAAATTAATAATATGATAATAATAATCATAATAAAATATTAATACATTATTAACAAAATAATGATACAATAATAGTACTAGAACAAAATATTAATAATTTAATAATAACATGAAGATATTAATTATTAAATATAATAATAAAATATTAATGCAATATAATTAAAATAATAATAAAATATTAATAATTAAATAATAAAATATTATAAAACTAATAATAAGGTAATAATAATAATAAAGTATAAGAGTATATTAATAATTAAATTAACTAATAATAATATAGTAAAGTATTAATAAGTTAATAATAAAAAAGCAAAGATACTAATTTATTAAATAATAATGATAAAATAACAATTAGGTACAAATAAAATGTTGATATGTTATAATTAAAGTAATAATAAAATAGTAACATGTTATTTATTAAATAATGATAAATTAATGTTAAAATAATAAACAAAAATAATAGCATATTAATAATAAAATGATAATAAAATAATAATTTTTAATAAAATATTCATAAATTCATTATACATACTAGGAATTAATTATTAAAAACTAATAAAATAATAACAACAATGTACTAATAAAATAATTATATATTCATAAAATAATAAAAAATACTAAGATATTAAAGTTTAATGTGTGCCCAAACATCACAAACAAGTTGTAGGACTTCTCAAGACAATTCTAACTATAGATCTGCAATCACATCAGTTATATCGAGATAAAAATTTGACTGAAAGTCCATTTTGAGGTCACAATTAATGGCTGAAGGCTGAAAGCCATCATGAGTTTACAACTAATATCAAGTTTATCCTAGTATAGCAAAACATCACCGATCTGCATTTTTTGCAGACTTAATGTGGGTTCAAGCTAGGCCACGCCAAGGAGAAATGTGGCTGCTTGGGCCCAGAAATTTGCAAGCCAGGCAGGCCGAGTCAGGTCAAAAACAATCATCCCTAATATGCCATCATCATTATCATTCATGTCTTATTCTAACTATTTGAGGTTGGCTACATGAATCTTGTTTCATCAATCCATTCAATATAAAGCCATATCCACTATTAAATTATTTAGTGCCTAAATCATTTCTTAATACTTGTGCCCATGCCCTTTTTGGTCTAACCCTAGCTCTTCTTGTGTCACCCGCCCTTGATCTATTGGATTTTAAGTCTTGGAGGTTATGTAAATGTGAAGTATAATTGAGTTTTTGTTTTTCCTAATTTTGTATTTATGATTTGTGATTTTGTTGGTAATTCTCTACTTTTTTGGGTACATGAAATGTCATTAGTAAACTCATTTTCAAATGTAATCTGTTTAGTGTGTACAAAAACTCCTAAATACATTGAAATAAATCAAGGCATGACACCATATCCAATAGAGAGATATAATAAAGAAGAATTTCATAAGTGCATTTGCAATGTAAAAACCATTTCAAGGTATCTCCACTATTTATCCACAGCATAGAGGCTTAGTTGTCAAAACATTCAGAAAGTGGGCACAAGTTATGCAACAACCATATTTAATAAACAACTTTTCACAATGAAGTGTCAGGCATGGATTGGATAGAAATAAACTGCTTAAAAGTTCTCCGAATACTATTTCTGGATGAAAAATATGTGCACCCTCATATTGTGAGAGTGAGAGCAGCCACTTTGTGCAAAAGAGAATACCAATGGTTAAAGAGTTAGGACTATCCAATCTACCTCTCCCAATACCCTAGATAGTAGTAGGGGCCACCATTGGATAATGGCCTTTTTAGATATGTGTACTCTCTACATTATTTATAGGGAAATCCCAACTATCGTCTATCTAAGGAAGTTTGAGATGGCAATTACGCAAATCACAATAATTGGTCCTTACAATATCATAGAATATAGTCTATGAGAGCAATGTCTATGGGCCCTTACGATATAAGAAAAAGAGGACTTAGTCAAGAGGTGGGCGAAGTGGGGGGAGGCTCGAATTCAAATGGGGCCCACTTTAAGGATGTCGAACCGGATAGAAACAAATCGAGCCACCATATAGATAGTTTGGAAATAAGGAGGAGAAAGGGCTTGATCCAAAAACGGACAATTAAAAGACTAAGCTGAAATAGACTGAAGAGCAAGAACTCAGGAGTGCAGGAAGACGAGTGGGTTTGGGTGGTTGCTCGTTTCGAAGGAGAGAAGAAAACAATTAGTTTCTAAAGACACACTACAAGCACAACTGAAGGCGTCAGAACTGGAGTGCATGCGGTTGAAGAAGATACTGGCATATCTGGAAAGCCACCGCTCGTAGAAAACCATGTTATCACGGTCTCTAATCATGAGATACAAAACCAGGAAGTGACTACACAGAACCAAGGCCAGCGTCCAAAGCCGGTGACTGAACGGCTACTGGTCTGAAGAAAGGTGGGCCCAAAAGGTGAGTCTAGTGCGGCAACAACTAGATAGAGGAATCTTGAGAGTTGGGAAGGCTCGACTTCGTTCCAGGAGACCCAAATAGAGGAAGAGGTACGAATTTCTGAAATCTCAATTCCTTTAGTCTCCACGTCGGTGGGAATCAATTGAGGGAGGAGGAGAAGAAGATGGGGTAAGGAAAAGGAGAAGAAGGAGTCGAGGAAGAAAAAGAAAGTTTTCTATAGAAGGGAGGAGGGTAGAAGAATCAAGGAAAGTGTACAACAGAAAGAGAAGATTGGAGGGAGGCAGCCTAGGTATTGAAGAAAGAGAGTAGGGGGGAAAAGATAAGGAAGAGGAGCATGAAGATATAAGAAAGGAGAGGAAGGAGCAGGGGAGAAGGGGTGAGAAGCCGGGTGGGTTGGAGAGTGCTCAAAAAGGTGTAGTAGAGATTGACAAACTCACTAAGAGGGAAGTATCGATAGTAAGTCCCTAGGATATTTTTTCTAGGGGGGAGAAGAAGTTGCAAGAAGTGCCTTCGCACAATTTGAAAAGGACAAGAGGGAGGAGAAGGGTAAGACAAAGGAACTGAGTGGGTTGAACAAAGAGTGGGATGAGGAAGGGGGCAAAAAGGAATTGCTAGAAGAGGATATGTGAGAATTCAGAAAGAGTTGCTCTAAGGAGTGGAAGTGGGAAGGAAGGATGAGAGTACTGAGCTGGAACGTATGGGGCCTTGGGTAAAGTAATAGGAGGGTTTCCATGGACAGCATCCTAACAACTGATCATTTGAAGAGTAGAGGATTTTATATGGCAAACATTTGTGGCATGTGTAGTTCGGATGAAAAATCTGTTTTACATTTATTTACCACCTACAAGACTTCAAGAATCATGCGGAGTTATTACACATCTTTATTCGGGAAAAGAGCTATTCAGCCAAGTTCAACAGCAGAAATTTTCTCCGTCTAGCCAAGATTTGGGGGAAGTAGGAAAGCAAGGATAGTATGGAGCTGCATCCCCTTTGTTGTGTTGGATATTATGGAACAAAAGGAACAAGGGGATCTTGAAGACAAATTCAAGAACACACAAGTTCTGGTGGCTCTGGTGGGGAAGCTAATTGCAGATTGGGTACGGGTGTTACTAGATTTTGATCAAGTGAGAAGATCAGATATGGGGGGAAATTTCTAGAGCATGCTTGAGATTCAGTTGATGTAAATTGTATCAATCTTAGTTTGGACTGTGCCTTAGTTCACTCTGCTCTGTTTTGTAAGCTAGGTGCCATCTTGTCACCTATTGCATCTAACTTAATTTTTTCTATTTAATAAAATTTCTATTTTAACTTCAAAAAATGAGAGCAGTGTCAACTGTTAACATATATAAGAATTTCCTTATTTTGTTAAATATGTTTAATTTCTTAGTTTTACATGCCATCAAGAATAATAATTTAATGGGTGATTACTTTAAGCAAAATAATGCTTTCATGTATACATCATAATTATCTATAAAACCTTTTTACAATGAATTTTATGAAAAAGATACAGATACATACATGTCTAGGCATGTATACAAATACATACATAATATATTTACATTAATACATCTAAATATAAACATATGTTTATATTTTATAATGTATGCTAGAAACCACAAGGATATGCACACATGACATAAATGCAAAAGCTAGCATCTAACCAATACTCATTCACTGCCTTTTGGAATAGAGCATACAATGGAGAAACATTTAAGTCAGGATTCAAAACCTCCTAAAATGGTCATCCCTTGGTCCTGAATTCTTTGGAAGCCAATGCACCACAATTCTGCCCCATCCTGGGAGAAAAGTTAAAAATTTGGATGAAACCTTTTGGTGGCATAATAGCAATACTTCATTCACTCTACTACCCAAAAAAAATGAAAAAGAATAAAGAATAAAACCATTTCTACAAGTACATTATATGTATATTTCATAAAAATCACAAGTTAAAAAACTTACAACACCACCCTGTTTTATGAGGTACTCCATGGGACTTAAGATCATGGATGCACTACCAGCAAAGTTTAAGCTGACTGTAGGGAATATCCCCATCAACACTGAATGCAAAGGACATATGCATTTCAAATATTAAATTAAGGATCTGACGATGAACCTTTTTAAAGTCTAGCATCCATTAAGGTAGGAAGTTGTATTACAATGGTACCTGCTGATGATTTGATCACATTGATTTCCGTTAGAAAGAAATGAACAAGCAGATAGTGAAACAACATTAAAGAAAATTGGATGAAATGAACTTCAGAGGTCATGGTTATTTCCTTCCCCAACAATGAAAATGAAGTAGTCAGTTGATTAACTTCAATCTTTTAAAAATAAAAGCTGTGGGTTTATTATAATCCTTTCCATAGCCTGTTACAAAGTGTTTCGCATCAATTAAATTGTTAAAAAAATGTGTTCCTGTAACTTACAACATTTTCAAGTGGATCATATGCTTCTGCTTCAAGGTATGCCAAAGTTGTTCCAGAATCAATTATGGTTCCTCTATTGCTTTAAGTAACAAAAACTGCTGGATCAATGGGCAGAATTTGCCCATTGACAACAATGCTCTGCAGATACAAATTATAATGATGCCTGAAATTTTTGAGACAAAAGGGAATCAAACCCAATGAAGAACCAGAATTAAAATGAACTAAATTTGATTTTTCTTATGCACATACTTGTCTAACATTGAATGTTTAGCACACAATGATTGCCATCTATGATACCTCATGTAGAATAAAAGATGTGCGAATGCTTTAAGACAAACTGATGTTAAGACAGGAAGAGATGATATAGCATGTTTTGGGATTTATAGGTGTCCAACAGTGCAAGTGCTTCTCTTTTTCTTTGTTCCTAATATTTTATTGTAATGGTTTTGACACATTTGTTTTTCTTTGAACGAGACTCTATTTTACGAGAGTGAAATCGGGGACTCCTCCAAAAGAATTCTATGTTCAAATTGACACCGGAAGTGATGTCTTGTGGGTCACCTGCAGTGATTGCCCCAAATATAGAGGCCTGAATGTCAAGCTTTCTTTCTTTTTACCGCTATATTTGGGGCAACCACTGCAGGCATTGCAGGTGACACACAAGACGTCACTTCCGGTGTCAATCTAAACATAGAATTTTTTTGGAGTTGTCCCCGATTTCACTCTCGTAAAATAGAGTCTCGTTCAAAGAAAAACAAATGTGTCAAAACCCTTACAATAAAATATTAGGAACAGAGAAAAAGAGAAGCCCTTGCGCTGTTGGACACCCATACATCCCCACCCTGTAGAGTTTTAAAGAGATCAAAAGCCGAAGAAAATAAACAAATAGAGAAGAAGAATCAACATCAAACTCATCTTTGAACTACATTAAAAGCATCAAAAGAAAAAGAATAGTAGACCCACATAGCTGTCAATTTACAAACTAAAAAAACTCAGAACATCAAGAACAATCAAGAACCCATTAAACAAAAAAAGGAAAACAGTAAAGAAGCAAAGAATATGAAAAAAACCCATCTATGTAAATTACAAAATAACCAGACCGGAAGCCAATAAGAGAAAATTAAGGAACGAAATAAAACGAATTCAAGAAACAAGACGCGGAAGTCAAACGCCATCCTCAATTAAATTCATATCTTAAAATCAACCACGGACAAAAAAAGAAATTGTGTAAGGATTGTAGGCGCCCTCAACGGGAAAAATCGACGATCCCACCCTGCAAGATTTGGCGGTGCCTTACCCTGTCACGAGTTCTAAGCTCAATCAGCTCAACTCTCTGGTCCACCAGAAAGGCTTTTTCGAGCTTCAGGTTCTTCGGAAATCCAGAAAACACCACCGGCAAGAAGACGATACCCAAAATCAATATCAGAAACCTGGCATGACGAAACGCCGCCATTTCCATTTCATTTTCTTCTCAAAAAACAAACGGATCATATATTATAAACCCATACAGTTCAGAGACGAAGATCGAGGTCTGTGTATTTCTGAGAAGAAAAGAGTGTGCGTGAGAGAGAAAGCAAGAGACAGACCAGAGACTACCCAAGGTCACAAGTGGAGAAAAGCAAGAAAAGAGAATAAAATGACGTTCCAAAACACCACGACAACGGCCACCATCCGTTACTCTGTAAATATATGTTTTCTTCCTTATTTCCACGTTCTAACCTCTAAACTACGATGAGTGCGTACAACGCACTCCCCACACTGATTTCGGGTCTGGGTGGTAACAGGCCGTGGCCCCTAGTTCATTGGCCCAAATGACCTTGCGTATACTTTTTATCCAATTTTTAAGATAACACGGATTCATTCCTTTCTGCGAATCCAACGGTTGATATTCTCATGCTCAAATGATGGTTCTCACTACGCACGGCCGCACGAGGCTCTTTATGTGCAACTGTAAAAAGTTAGCAACACCTTGATTCTTGAAAGAAAATTCATGCGGGTTTTTTCTAGAAGTTTCCAAACAGAAATCCCCCAAAGACTTTATGAATTAATAAGACATAAATAATAAAATTCTTGGTAATTGAAACCTATTTTGGTAAGAACGATAAAAAATCAAAGGCATTACAGATAAAACTGACCACAAAATAGGGGGTAAAGTGAAAAGCTTATTTTCATTTGACAAAAAAAAATTCACAAAATCACTTCCAACATGAGAAAAATGGTTAAAAAGGAATAAGAAAAAAAAAATGTAAAGAACCAATAGTTTCTTCTTGCAGCGACAGCGAGAGAATTTTTTTCAAATGGGTGCAATGGGCTGTATGGGTTTATAATATATGATCCGTTTGTTTTCAATAAAATACCATTAGGTTTAAGTTTGAGTTTGAGTTCAATTGAAAGCTTGAATATGAATATACTTTTATACTTCATAAATAAATATATATATATATATATATGATATATTTTTTATATTATATATAGAATATAAAAATATTGATACGTATAGGCCCGTATCAGTTGATATGTATCATGTAAGGCTCAAAGTATTGATACATATCGGCCCATATCGGCTGATATGTATCGTGTCGATGGCTTCCCAATACGTCCCTCCAAGGGTTCTATCGAATAAGCCACTGGTTCAAAGGGTAGCCGGGCCTTAAATTGACCCCTCTGACCGGTTTTAAAAAAAATAAGACATAAAAAAAAACTATCGATACAGCCCGATATGCCTCTACCAACATATCGAGCATGTTGATATTTTAAACCTTGAGTATTTGTATATATGTATTAATCAAGTCAAGCTTGTGAGCTTTTAAGCTGGATTTTTTATTGGTCTAACTCGAAATAGGATAACTAATCAAACTTACCTTGAGATTCAGACTCAATTAGAATTTAATATAAATGTATTTTTATATTTTATAAATATATAGTATATTCTTATATTATATATAGAATATAAAAATATATTTTTCTAACATATATTATTAAATACATTTTTATATTCTATAGTGTATAGAATGTTTTAAAAACCAACCTAATTAATTACTTTACCTCGATGTTTTAAAAACCAACTCAGAATTAGAACCATTATGGCCACTAGTTTATGGGTTGACGGTTTAATCATCTGATTCAAATGGGTGGCCCATTTGAATTTAAATTTAAATTTAATCATCCCATCTTGGAAAAAAAATTAAATTTAAAAAAATAATTAAAATAAAAGGCCAAAAACCATTGAACAAATCGATTGTTTGGGTCAATGGATTTTTGGCCAGAGATCAAAACCAATTCAACAGTTTTTGGCCAGAGATCAAATTTGGAGTAAAACAAAATTTGATTGCCTGACAGTTCTCGGTGCAAATGGTCCAGCTATACGGGTAAATGGGGGTTCGAAAACATTACTTTACCTGCACTTTGTTGAGGCTACATAATGAACATGGAGATGGGTTACTTTGAGTTGAGGCCTTATTCCTTTACAAATTTGTAACTTTGCACCTAGCTACTAAAATGTTTCGTGATTAACATTTATATGCACGTATCCGATATTATAATGTGTAATTCCGAAACACTTACATTCCTCTTCTTTGCCCAACGTTGGTGGTAGGGAGATTTGATATTGGGTCTCTGCTACAGTGAAACAAAGATTCTACCAAATGAGCACACCATAAGTAGATTTGTTCATGGATCGAGCTCAGGCCGGGCTTTTACTCTTTATAAATATGATTTTGTTAGGCCCGAGCTTGAGCCCAGCCCTAATAAAAAGCCCAAAGCTCGGGTCCGATCCCGAAGTCCGACCTAACAGAAGAAAGAAGCATCACCGTTGACTGTGTTCACCAGTGCTGAGTTCGCATTTGAGAAAGAGAGAGAGGATTCATCGTCACTGCCGATGCTTGTGTTCGCCGCCTCGCCGATGCCTGAGTTCATGTATGAGATTCTGAGAGAGAAGAAGTGAGAAGAGGAGAGAGAGAGGACTCACCATCGCCGCTGATGCCTATGTTCATTGCCTCACCGGTGCCTGAGTTCATGTCTTAGATTCTAACTTTCTAGAATAAGTGAGAAGAGGAACGAGAGAGAGAGAGAGAGAGAGAGAGTGGGGTTAGGAACTTAGGATATTTAGGGTTTTTTATTTAACCTAAAAGTCGGGTTGGAAAGGGTTTTTTTAACAAATCCCGAGCCCAACGGCCCGACATTTTTAACAAATTCTGAGCCCGACCCATAAAATAGTTAGGCTCAGGCTTTTAGGCCCGAGGTCAAGCCTGCGGATTCAAATATGTGTTCAAGCGCATCCGGGGGCTGGGCCGGGCCGGGCTACCCGGCCCATGAACAGGTCTTACCATAAGGTGTTGCCCGCCAAAAGGTACATGTCTCACATTGCTTGCTTAACCAAAAGAGGAAAAACTATCCGGAGTGATCTGACATGACTAAGGAAYGGKCCAAACAGGACAAMATAGGGATCGAGGAAAAAGAAAAAAATCGGTCAAAATGCAACTGCTGATCGGCAAATCAAGTGAAACGGCTGAAGCCTCTCCTTTCTTTGGTTAGGTAGGAAC